CAGGACCTGGGCTTGGGCCTGTCACAACTCCCGCATCTGCAGGCGCTTTCTGGTGAACTCCGTTAACGTTTAGGCTGCTTAGAAGGACCTAGCAAGGCACTAAGCGGCTGTTAACTGGCTAATTAATATTTAATTTGCTGAACACCAGGCTTACCCACACGTCTGGCTCAGTTTCTGAGCTCACTTGGGACTGTGCTGCCCCGTCCGCAAATGGGATGATGCCTCCGCACCTTACGGTGGTGAAACTAGAAAGCTGCTTCACGCTCATAAAAGCTTGTCCGTGCTGTGAAATTCTGTGTAAGGCGGCAGTTGCTGCAACCATCGAGTACAGCCTGAGTAGCCTTTATCCACCGGTCATTCGGCAGCCTCCAGTTAGGCCTCCCCGCTGCCCTGATCCTACCCAAGAAGGTCACTGGCGATGAAGCGTCCCATCGTACCCTCCCATACTGCGTGTCTTTGCTCTCTGATGCAAAAGCTAAGTTACAGTATCCCTTCATCATACTCTGTTATCTTTTGCTAATGACTAGAGATGCTGAGTATGTCCAGAATTTTACAGTTAAATGTATAATACAGTTTACTGCAGCTCAGGGATCCCTGCCCTTTCTTAGGATGTTTCTTTGCTATTCTGACGCAGATACATTAGAATTAACTGGATGTCATGTCTTTTCCCGCTTTGTTCACACAAACCTTTGATCAGCTGAGTGTCTTGAAGAATGCTATGGAGAGATTGCTAAGTCACATCTCATTCTGCGTCCTCACAGGGGCCTAGTTTCTCTTGAAAAAGGGGGAGCCTTCCTAACAATCTGGTTGGTATCTCCCCAAAACAAGCACGTTCCAATGAGTTAGCTTTGAATAGTAGTTTGTTTAGGTCTCCTATGATGGATTCATACATCAGTATGTTAATGAAAAAGACTTTGACTGTGTAATTATTATGTCACTTTTTTATAGGTATGTAACTTTGCCAACACCAGCGTAACCTCAGAATGTACTTAAGAGAAAGTTGTTTAAACCGATACAGAAAAGGGAAGGGAAGAGCAGAGCCTTGAAAAGCTTTTTTGAATCTTAGCATCAAGTAAAACTCGATGCAGCTCTAGGCTTGCTATCATTCCCTAGGGAGTGAAGCAAAACTTGCAGGTCCAGTTCATTTAGTAAGCTTTCTTTGGCGTGTGTATGTGAGACAGTATCTGAGCTGTCGATAACAAAGCTCTGGGAAGTAATCTCTGCCATTTATATGACAGGTAGCTTGTAAACTGGAAGGAGGTATTTCTGGTAGAGTTGGATGGTGCTGATGTATGGTTCAGTTAAGTATTTGATTTAGTAATAATTTTCGTTATTGATGATGTTGTCTCATTAATTATCTGTTGATCTGGACCTAGACGTATTTGAAAGTGAAATGGATGCATTTACTTAGTTTAAATAAAAACAAACCCTGTAACTTTAATGAGAGATTTAACAAAGTGCATAGTTAATAATAGTTTTGTGCATAGTTAATAATAATTATTGCCCATGCTTTAA